TTGGAGTCTCACTCTGTTACCCAGACTAGGGAAGGCTTCCTTAAAGGGACAGTTTGAGCTGGGCACAGGAGAATTTGGGAAGGGAAGGTGGGCATGTTGGGGGGCAGGGTGGAGGGTAGCCGGGCAGGGTGGAGGGTAGCCGGGACAGAGCCACTGTGTAAGTGCAAACGTGCCCGGGAACGGCTACCAGCTTACCTTTGATTGGTGCTCGATTTTGTAGGCAGTTTGTTGAAACTGACGAATCTCTCGGATAATATGGGATATCTGCGGGAAGGAGGAAAGTTTCAGAGACAGTTTCCTCAATCAGTGCTATCCCCCAATTTGTAGAGTTGAAGGAGCATCACCAGCTAGGTCTGAAGTCAGTTTCTTAATTCCATGTATGTTGCTTCCTGGAAGATCCCTTGGAGGTACTGTGTGTGTGTGTGTGTCTAATCAGAAATTTGTTTCTAAGGTTTGTCAAGACTCGATAATTATGCTATGTGATTTTTTTTTGAGTCAGGGTCTCACTCTGTCGCTCAGGATGGAGTGCAGTGGCACAATCATGGCTCACTGCAGCCTTGGTCTCCTGGGTTCAGGTGATCCTTCCTCCTCAGCCCCCCAAGTAGCTGGGACTAAAGGCATGTGCCACCACCACATGCCCGGCTATTATTTTATTTTTGTAGAGCTGAGGTCTCACTATGTTGCCCAGGCTGGTCTCAAACTTCTGAGCTCAAGCAGTCCTCCTACCTCAGCCTCCTAATGTGCTGGGATTACAGTCATGAGCAACTGTGACTGGCCTCCACTATGTGATTGAGAGAGAGAGAGAAATCTCCTTTCATAAAGTAGCATAAGCTGTCCTACATCACTAAAACAAAACGCTATGACTCCAGCAAAAGTGAAAGACACTTGCCACTTCCTAAGTGTCTACTGTATGCAGGACAAGCCCCTGGTGAAGAGGCTGCCACTCCATCAGTGCCTTCAACTTCTGTCGACAGCGAGACCCTTTCTATGAAGGGTCCTATGTGGAGGCCTATTATACAGAACTGGGGCAAGCCGAGGCTCTGGCTGGGGGTGGTGCTAGACATCCTGCTCCTGCCCGGCGAGGTGTCCTTGTGCCCTCTCCTAGGTCTTAGCTTTTTCTGGACATAAGTGCTTTTCCAGACATTAGGAGCGGCTGCATAAGTGGCTTTCTTCCTCTGGTCACAGCAAGCGTTTACATGAACAATGACAGACGGGTGTGAATACAGGTGTGGGCTGTGGGGTCTCCCCTGGAGACCCAGGCTCCAGACCTGGCACTGCCCTTTCTTTACTTGACTCCACTCAGCCTCAGTCTGCTCATCTGTCAGGTGGGCATAAGATGAGCACCTACCTATATCAGACTGTCGGGACTAAAGGGGGACATGCGGTAGACATGGCTCAGGGCCCCCAAGGGCTACCTGCATGTCCATGACAGTGATGGCTCTTAGTGGAGAAACTGGACCCCGGACCCCAAACAGGGGCACCCAATGCAGCAGCTGGGCCTGGTGGACAGGGTGTGGATGGGTGGGCCCAGGCTGAGTCAGGGTTTTGATGTCCCCCCTTCCCTGCCCAACCCCGGGAAACGCACCATCCTCATCTTGGAGAAGTTGACCAGGCCGTCCTCTGTGTAATTGGGCGTCCCCTCCTCGATGAAGGCCAGGTCGGTGAGGTACATCCCCAGGTAAGGGACACAAGGAGGGTCACAACTTGGAAGCAAATGGCATTGACAAAAGTTTTTCACTTAAAAAAGGAACTTCTACCAAGAACAGAGCATCTGCCTGCAACTTTTGCTTTGCTAGAGGCAAAGGGATGTCTATCCACCCAGACCACCAGGACGCTCTTGGGTCCAGGACAGTCAGAAGCGTTTGAGGTTGGTCCCATGGGAGGCTGGGGGTGATGAGGTGCTGACCGAGGCCTCTCGCACTGGCTGGAGCGCCTCAGTTGCCTTCTCCTCCTCAAGCCAGCAGGACCCATCTGCCCGTCTGCTGCGTGTCCCAGCTGGAGTCCTTGGGCTCCGGGACCAGACCGGTACCTTTCCCTTCCCCTCTCTCCGCCCCAGTCCTACCCTTGTTCATCTCCCAGGGGGCTTGGCAGCCCAACCCCTAACTCCCATCTAACCCCCTTGCGTCTCTGCTCCCTGAGACATCTCCACCATCACCACCATGGGCACCCCCCCGACCCTGAGCACTGGGCTTGAGGTGCCAGGGCTGGAAGTCCTTGCCCTTTGAGATCACCTTCCCAGAAGTGGCATGGGGGTTGGGTGACAGTTCCCACGGTTGGTGATTCTTGGGGACAGCGTTTTGGGAGATGGGACCCAGCAGTGATGGGCCCTGACTGTCTGACTTGTGGTTCTGAAGCAAAGACTCTGGTTCCTGATCTTTCAAGGTGGCTTGTTTGGGCACCCTTGGGTGGGTGCTGGCAAGGACTGATGGGTCTGTGATTCAGTGGCCACTATGTGCTGGCAGGGCTCCCTTTAGCTTTTTCAGGGGACTCCTCATACAGTGCTCTGCATCCTCCTCCCAGCTTAGCACACAGACGCAAATGGAATTGTTGAGTGCCATGTAGGTGACCCTCATTTCCAGGACAATTTTAGGTGGTCTGAGGGTTGATTTCAGTTGATTCACAGACAAATATATGTATTTGCACCGGAGTCTCACTCTGTTGCCCAGGCTGGAATGTAGTGGCATGATCACCACTAACTGCAGACTCCACCTCCTGGGCTCAGAGGATCCTTCTACCTCAGCCTCTCAAGTAGCTGGCACACACCACCGTGCTTGGCTAATTTTTTTTTTAGCAATGAAGTCTTGCTATGTTGCCCAGGCTGGTCTTGAACTCCTGGACTCAAGCGATCCTTCCACCTCAGCCTCCCAGAGTGCTGGGATTATAGGTGTGAGTTACCACACTCAGTCCAGACACCATATCAAATAACTGGAATTCATATTCAAGAAACACTAGATTTTTACTTTTCCCCTTGTGCTCAGGGAGCCTCGCTTGGTGGCAGAATGGCGTTGATACTTTTCAACACTTGTCATCCTCCTCCCTTTGCTTATTTATTTATTTACTTTTGAGTCGGAGTCTCACTCTGTCGCCCAGACTGGAGTGCAGTGGCCGTTCCCGGCCACCGCAGCCTCGCCTGCTGGGCTCCGGCGATCCTTCCGCCTCAGCCTTCTGAGTAGCCGGAATTACAGGCATGTGCTACCACGCCTGACTGATTTTTTTGATTTATTGTAGAGATGAGGTCTCACTGCCCAGGCAGGTCTCAAACCCGTGGGCTCAGGCAATCCACTCACTTCAGTCTCCCAAAGGCGCGGGATGACAGGCTGAGCCACCGAGCCCGGCTGCTTTTTTTCTTTTTAAACAAACAGTGTCAGGTCTGAGTCAGTGTGTTGGCAGGCATCAGTAACTGGCCAGACTGGTATTGCGCTGTTTTATTTTTACCATGTTTATTTTTATGGTAACGTTGTATTTATGGTGGGTAAGCTAGTCTTCCATATACTGTCATGAAATACAATTTTCCTCCTTATTGAAATTTATTGGTCAGGTCTAATGACTCATGCCTGTAATCCCAGCACTTTGGGAGGCTGAGGCGGGAAGATCACTTGAGCTCAGGAGTTCGAGACCAGCCTGGGCAACATAGTGAGATCTTTTCTCTACCAAAAAAAGTATTTTTGGGAAAAAGTAAGTTAAAGGTTATGAAGTAGAGGCAAGTTCAGCTGGGACATGGGGAGGGCAAAGTCACAAAGGAGCAGGATGCCTGATGTTAAGGACATGGTAGACAGAGGGTTTTTTCCAACTAGAGTTCTTGGCTCTATCAGGTGCTGAAATCAATTTAGAGAGTGCAGACCAGATTTTTTTTTTTATTGAAGAGGCAAGGTCTCGCCAAGTTGCCCAGGCGGGTCTCAAACCCACAGGCTCAGGCAATCCATTTGCCTCGGCCTCCCAAAGTGCTGGGATTACAGGATGAGCCACCGAGTCCAGCCAAGATTTTAAAAACTGATTTAGAAAATACCTGAGTTCACTGCATGGAATAAAGGAATATGTGGTCTGGTGGACTTTTTGTTCCTGTTATGCATATATGCATTTGCCAACAGGGTTGTACTTTCTTTTTTTCTTTTTTTTTTTTTTGAGTTGGAGTCTCACTCTGTCACCCAGACTGGAGTTCAGTGGCCGCTCCCGGCCATCGCAGTCTCGACCTGTTGGGCCCTGGCGATCTTTCCGCCTCAGCCTTCCGAGTAGCTGCAACTACAGGCGCACGCTACCACGCCCGCTAATTTTTGATTTATTGTAGAGATGAGGTCTCGCCAAGTTGCTCAGGTGGGTCTCGACTTTTTGAGTGAGACTCCAACTTAAAAAGTCCATAAGACCGCATATTCCATTACCTGCGGGCTCAGGCAATCCACTCACCTCAGCCTCCCAAAGGCGCGGGATTACAGGCTGAGCCACCGAGCCCAGCTAGGGTTGTACTTTCAAATCTCTCTATATTTTTACTGTGGATTGAGATTTTAAAAAAAGTGAGGATTGTCCCACCCCTGGGGGCCCGCTTGGGGCCTTCTGGGCCTTCTAGGCCATGACTGTTCATGCCTAGTTTCTCATTTCCATCACACTCTGAGTCTGAAGCCTAGGCCTATGGGTCTGATGGAGAAATCGTCCAAAGCTCTGAGAAGTGACACTGCAGCTGGAGGCTGGGGCAGTTTGCTGCTCGGCAGGTTCTGGGGGGGTGTTCCCCCTTTCATCCCCAGCCTACGCGTGCCGGTGGCCAGCAACCCTGGATCCTTGTAGGATGGCGGGGGGATGGTGGTGGTGGCGGGTGACTGCATACTGACTGCTGATGACCAAAGGACTGAGAGGGGTTCTGAAGGCCTTGTGGGTTCTCTGACCACCCAGACACGTGAATAAGATCAGGGAGTTCTCTGATCACAGAGATTAATTTCTCCATGGTATCTGTGGGAATGCCAATGTGGGAAGGTGATGAGTTTGCAATCTAATCACTTGCAAGTGGCGCCTGGACCCCAGTCCTGACTTCTGCCTCTGTTTACTACCTCTCTAGTAAGGAGCCATGAAGGAGGGAGCTAGAGCACACTTAGTCAATCACATACACACACCCCCAAGTCCAGAGCCATGCAGGTAAACGGATGGGTTGCCAGAGCGGGAGAGAAGACTGGTGGAGGCTCCGAAGGCCACACTGTGTGGGGGCTGGGCCTTGCTGAGCATCAGAATGAGAAGGGAAGCGTGTTGGGGGCTTCCTGTGAGCAAAATGCCCACTGGCTGGCCAGTTCTGAGCCCTCTATACAGGCATTCTGGCCTCTCTCAGGTGGTCCAGTCTGGCTCTTGTCTGGGGCCTATTCAGCAAAGCTGGTGGAGGGTGGCTTCCTTTTCTGGCAGAGCCCTCGCAGGCCTATAGCCGGTGCTTTAGAGAGCAGGGAGAGAAGTGCCCATCCCCATCCTGAAAGCTGCTGCTGGCTCCCAGCAGGGCCTAGTCATGGCACACCCATGCCTGGTGACCCTGGGCATTCCAGCCTAGCCTGTGGTTGTCTGGAGCCCCCAAACTTGATGTTCCTTTCCACCCAGAAGTTTCTGATGATGTCAAATGGAGTAACAGAGATCACGTGGTAACAGCCCCTGGCAGCAAGAGCGGTCCTAGGTGTTCATACCAAACCCCAGGAGCCCGGCTCTCTGCCCACCCTGCCTCTTCCCTGCACTGCCACAGCTGTGGGGCCTGCCACTCTGCCATACAAGCTCCTGATGGCTGTGGTTGGGGATTCTTCTCCTTCTCCCATCTTGGGGCCCAGTCAGGGGCATGCTGGGAGGGTGTGAGGGGCACTTGGAGCTGAGCTGTATGGGCTGAATCCCCTGGTGTCGGAGTCCAAGTTTATGGCATGAGGTGCAGGTGATTAGATGCTCAGGTTTTGGAAAAAAACAACAACACTGCTATAGGGTGAGGGGGTGGAGAGTCCAATCTTGCTCTCTGTCATCTGGACATCAGTTGCTTCACTGTGTCGTCAGCAGGAGGCTGGGCTTTGCCATGGAGCCACAGCCAGAGAATAAAGACAGAGACAGCAATTTGGCCTTGTTGGAGCCCCTGAGACTCTGAACATCAGCCTCTGGATGCATCGTACCCACATAGACACACAGATGCTGGGCCCCTGGAAGGCGTAGGGATAGCCTGGTGGTCAGCTAGCTGACACGCTTCTCCATGGCTGTGTCCTAATTTAGGGAGACGGAGGGAAAAGCTTCACTACAGCAGCCTACAAGAACCGCCTATACCCCATGTGCCTCTAAATCAGGGGATTCCTACTCAAATCAAACACAAAAAGTACAGCTATATGGTTATGTGCTGGGTTGAGGTTAGACAGGGCTGTCAACACTGGCATCGGCCCCCAAAGAGCAGGGACCACATTTTACAGCTAAATGTGTTTCTTAGTCGAATTGTTGTTTCATTGAGCTGTGAGAATGTTCTGATCGCTGGGAAGTTGAGAGGAGGGGACAGTCTTGGGGCCTCACAAGGGTGCCTGTGGAATGAGGTAAGGTCACTCTCGGAGTGTCCAGGCAAGGGACTGAAGGAGACCTCATGGTAAGGTTTGGAGGTTGGCCAAGGGACATTTAAGAGAGTGACTGGGGGATTGGGTGTAGTGTTTGAGGTGGAAGTCTTGGCTGAGAAAGGTAGTTAAGACCATTCTCCAGTCTGGATGCTGCCACGAGGTTGGCTATTTTATGTTATTTTATTATTATTACTTTGAGTCAGGGTCACTCCGTTGCCCAGGCAGAAGTGCAGTGGCATGATCAAGACTCACTACATCCTCTAACTCCTGCGCTCAAGTAATTCTCCTGCCTCAGCTTTCTGAGTAGCTGGGATCCCTGGTGTGCACCACCATACCTAACTTTAAATTTTTTTTGTAGAGACAAGTTCTCACTATGTTGCCCAGGCTGTTCTCGAACTCCTGGACTCAAACAATCCTCCAGCCTTGGCTTCCCAAAGTGCTGGAATTGTAGGCGTGAGCTACTGTGCCTGGCCAGGATTGGCTATTTTAATGAAAGACTGAAAAAGATGCCCAGGGCATATGAACGGGCTGGGGACACATGTGGCAAGGCCCATCGCAGGGCTCCTGTCTGAGGGGGTCAGACTGCCACCTCACTTTCCCTGCCTGGTAAAACACACCCCAGTGTTCACGCATCATCTCTCCCTGTGAGCACATCAGAAGAAGGGGTGCAGGAAACATCTGCCCGTTTCCTCTACCTCTCCTTCTTCCTGGCCTGCCACATCTCCCTCAGGTCACACCAGGTATGCACAAAGGTCTTAGCTCCTAGATGCCCATGAGCTGCCTCTGTCCCTGTTGCAGGGAGCAGAGGAGTCTGGGAGAGGCACTTACACAGGCCCACAGGTGAGCTCTGAGAGAATGAGAGACCACGAGGTTGTGGCAGCAGCTGACAAGGAAGCCATGTGACCATGTGAGGAGGTGGATGGAGAGATGCCCCGGGGGTGGACGGACAGGCTGGCAAATGCACGTGGGACAGCTCCCCACAAGCACAACCCACATGGGCTCTGGGGAGCCCAGGTGGAAAGAAATGGCTGGACAGCACAGATGGGTATGACATTTGTCTGAGGACATGAATAAAGTGGAGATGGTCAAGGTGATGGCACACAGAGCTGGCGAAGGACAGACCAAGTGTGGCAGGAAGGAAGCAAGAAGAGGAGGCAGACAAGGCTGACAGAGCCCCTTTCCTGGCTGGAGGTGTTGGCTGGCCCCATCCCCAGGCTCCGAGGTGGGTGAACTCTGGGAGCCTCATGTGGGCAGTGATCGTGTGATCCCTCCAGGAAGGGAAGAGAGGCTTCCTGGCTCTACAGGGTACTCCCTGACCCCAGGGAACTCCCAGGGTCTCTCCAAGGTCTGGTGACTGGACAATGGGTCAGGAAGAGGATGGGACATTCAGCCAATGAAAGGAGGGCGGAGGCTGGTGCAGCGCCTGCAGGAGGCCTCTGGTGGGAAGGATAGAAGCAAGCCCATGTGTGGATGAGTGTGCGACCACAGTGTGAACCAGAGAGCTGAGTCACTGCTTTCCTGGGGGAGCTCGCCTGGAGCCTCTCGGAAGCAGCCCAAAGCTACCTCAGGGACTTGCCCTGTGGTCTTGGGCCAGTCACTAGCACCTCCAGTTCTTGGTCTGGAAAAACAGAATTGGGGGAGCTGCCTTATGTGGTGGTTCTCAAAGGGGAGGATTTTGCCCCCTGCAGATATTTGGCAATGTGTGGAGCCATTTTTGGTTGTCACATCTGGAGGGGGGCCATTAACATATTGGATGCCGCCAAAGATTCGACACTCACAAGATGGCCCCACATCAAAGAACCATCCTGGTCAAACAACAGAGTGCGGAACCTAAGAAAATCTGTCTATGGGCAGCGACGAGGGGGCTTAAACGCACCATCGTGAGGGAAGTGCCTTGCAAAGCGGAAGGTGTGATTACTGACAAAACTGTATTTCTTTGATTCTAAAATGCCTCTGTAAGATGCACACTCATTTCAATGGTTAATTCTCAAGTGAGGAAGGAAACATCATCACAGTAAATAAACACACAGTCCTGAAAACATATCCTGATCTCAGAATTATTAAAATGCAAAAAAATGAGCATTTTAGAATCAAGACATCTACCATTGCCATTATCGTCACTATGCCTCAGGGACTTCAGCATTCTTCCTGTGCTTTTCCTAGGAAATGCCACCAAACTCTGGAATTTCTTTGGCAGACAATGGAGGACTCCACCCTTGGGATCTGGGAAGTCTAGGGGTCTTGTGTAGCCAGAGGGACAGACAGGCAGACAGACCTCCTGCTCTGGCATGGGAACGTCTCAGCAAGCCTATGATTTTAAAAATGACAGTGACAGAGTGACACACACTTACTTTTTCAGAGCTTCTCTGAGATTCTTAAATCTGCCCTCGGAGGATACAAGTTTTTGGAGCTTATCAATCAAAGCTTTCGTCTAGAAGGAATCAGAAGCATTTACTAACACACAGCACAGGCCAAGGCCCGGGCTTGAGTCCACCCTCCAGCACGCTCTTCTCCAGGACTCTAGAACCATGTTCGCTTTGGACTTGGGACTTCCCATATCTGGGAACCTCATGCTTGAACTCTGTAGGAGGTGGACACGGGTCCTTGTTTTGTGTCTTGTGCTCACAAGTCTTTCAAATCAGGGAAGTGGATGTGAAAGTTTGAATGTGGTTTTGGTCCTTGGAGATGTTGTGGCATCCTGAGACTCAGGAGTTGAGAAGAACTTGGTGGGGGACTCCTGGGAGCCTGTGCTCAGGGCAGGGAGAGGCTGGGTTTTCATGATCACGGTCTTCCTCATGAATTCCACCCAAGAACGTGACCCTCTTTTCAGACCTTCCCTCTTACATACCAGGAACATCACCCACATTTAAGAATCAGGAATAAAAGATGGTAAATGAACTGATCATGAAAGAAGAAAAAGATGGAGAAGAAGAAACCCCAGGGTAATGGGATTTGCCAAATGACCAAGCCAGGCCCGCATGTATGCCAGGTGGGAGCAGAATGTTAATGTCTGGAGTTTGTCTGAGGGGACCAGATACGTCCATGGAGAGTGGCCTGAGCAGAGCCTGGCTTGGGCACCTTTCCCTGTGCAGCCTGAGGAAAGTCCCTTTATCTCAGGTCCCAAGCATCCTCATTTATACAATGATGAGACAGATGAGAGACTTCCTTTCCAGTTTTGTTCCTCAAGACTAGAATGCGGCTGGCAAGGTGTGCTGGAAACAGCTGTGAACCAGGCAACTAGAGTATCATTTAGCCTGGAGTGGACATGGGCCCCAGAGGCCTACCCCACGCTGTGTCCTTGGGTCAGATTTCTATCTGAGAAATCTGCCCTCAAAACATGATAATCTAAATGCTTATTCTGATGGAAGAAGAGATTAGTGTGCCCTTTGCGAGGAAAGAGCTGGAGGATGCCGCTCAGGGCAGTGTCTTATCAACCAAGAGGAGGAGTCTCGTCCCCTGGTATGGACAGACCCTGTGCAAAGCACAAGTGAGTTCTGGACTTGGTGAAAGGAACACATGCCAGGAGGGCAAGGGCCACACCGATACTGCAGTCGCTCTTGGAGGCTTGGCAAAGTGGAGACACACAGCCCACCTCTGCTCTGGTCTCAGCTTCCCTCCTGCACTTGATTTCTTTCCAGGGCTGCACGCTCCTTCCACCTCTTTCCCACCCACCTGCAGAGGAATGACCTGATAGAGTGCAAGGTCAGAAGTGGGGGCCGGATCAGGAAACCTGGACTCCTGGGCTCTGTCACCCACTCTTGGCATGCCCATGGGCAAATCACCCTTCTGTCTTGCTGGGCCTCAGTTTCCCCACCTGGAAAATGGCAGGGCAAGTCCAGGTGTTCCCTAAAGGCAACACTAGGTCAGATATCCTAGAATTATGGTAGATACAGATGGTCGATCAGGAGGCCCTGGTGGCCATGTAGCTCTGGGTGAAGTGTCACCATGCTTAGAGGCCAGGAAAAGGTAGAGAGGCTATTCTGATGTGTGGTTTTTCTGTATACACCTGGGCCTACTTGTGGCTCTGAGTGAGGCACATTTGGGCTCTGTCCACACCCCATGCTTGCTGTGTGTGGCTGCTCTTTTTCGGGCTGTCATACTCTACCCAGGAAGGAGCTCAATGGCCTGGGAAGTCATAGAATTTTCTTTGCTGCTGTTTAAAAAGCGTGCTCCAAGTTGAAGCAGCTCAAACATCTTCTAGCTGGGGTAGGATCATCCATCTTTGGATGCTCCAGGAACTTGGGCAGCCCTGCTGGAGTGTGGATACCAGCAGGCAGAAATAGGGGGGCTCTGGAACATGTCATAGAAACCAGGGACCAAGCAGGAGCCTGCCTCAGAGGTGGTGTAAGGAAGAAAGAGATTTCTATAGTCTCCTAAATACCATCCCTTCCTGCTCACGAAAGACTTCTGGTTGGTGAAGAATATTCTCTCCCAAAGAGGCCAAAAAGTATTGTCAGTCAGAGAGGCTTTTGTCTCTACTAAAATACACCTGCTCCCAGGAAAGGCAACACACAAAACCATACCAGTGACCTGTCACTTCCTACGGATGCCATCATTATCAGATCTTCCTTGGAGGGTTTTTATTTGTTTTGGCTTATTTATTTTTTCTTGCAAAGAGAATGAAGAGAGGGATTGAAACAAGATGGGGGAATTGAAAAGTACCAAACGAAAAGTGACTGCTTGACCCTTGCCAAGTGCTGAACCAGACTTGGACACCACGTTTTTCTGTTTTGGGCAAGCACATTTAAGGGGGTGACCAAGACTAGCTGCTGAGGCTACATTTCAGGCCATGTAAGACATGTGGCCATTTTGGTAGGTCACAAATGTCCACAGGACACCTGTCAAGATAATAAACTGGCCCTGGTTGGTGTGATGAGGCCAGGCACTGTGCAGACAAAAACTCTTGCACAAAAACTCTGGAAGGACTGGAAGCCAGTTGGGTCTACTTTCCCTACGAGTGGAGGCCTAATGTGCTGCCAGAGACAGCTTTGACTTTTGGACCATGCCAGCTGGTTCTAGGTCCTGAATGATGTCATAGAACTCAGGCCGGGTCACATGTCCTCACCACTAACAGCCCTTGATTTTCACTATCCGAAGAGAATGGAGGATTTCAGGATGGTCAAGGTGGTTCTCTTCCAACTCCATGCGGAGGGCAGTGCTGGAGAATGAAGCCAAGAAATATGAAGAGTGGGTTCCAGGAAGCCCCAGTGGGGAGGGAGCCTGGTCTGGAGGGTCTCTGGGAAAGATGACATCCTCCCCAACAAACAGGGCAGCAAGAGAAAGCTATTCCCCTGGACCAGGCCCCAGGCCCCGCCCATAGCCCTGCCTGAAACTTGACAGGCCGAATGACTTGGTAGTTCTGCAGAGCCTCATTCCACTCCGACTTCAGGAGATCCTGATGGCAGGTGCCATGTGTGGCTGGATGTGCCTGCAACTCTGAGTGCCTGTGCTCCCAGCCTTTGTTCTTTTCTGGACCAGTCAGCAAGTGTGGCATTTTCCATGGTTCTTTCCCTAAGCCTGACATCTTTGCGTGCCAAGAAGCAAGAGGCCCAGCCTCACTGGGATGCAAGGGGGTGTCCCTGCATACTCTGTAGTCTTCCTGTAATCAGAGGTTGAAGTAACCTGAAGGTGGAGGAAGAGCAGCAGAGATGTCCCAGGGCTGTCCTGAGTTTGGCTGCTAAGTTGGAAGGATTTACAGACATGCTGCTTGCTTGATCATGTCCTGCCCACGAGAAAGGTAGTGAGGGGCAGGTGACAAAGAGAACAATGAAGGGGACATGTATGCAAGTCCAGAGTGGTCCAGATGAGACAGGGCCCTTGGAGCCACTGGGTCCTGCACAGCCCACCCAGCTCCAGGACCACAGACACTGGCCAAGTGATCAGCACGTGGAGGCTTGCCCTGTCCACTGGGGGTGCTTGTCCAGTCTCCTGCACATAAGCAGGCTGGGGTTGGGGCCTCCCCCAAGGACACCAAGGAAGTGGTCCCAGTGCCTCACTGTGGCCTCATATAGGGAGAGCTGCCCCTCGTGACCCTGGAGCAGGGAACTTTAATCCCTAGGAAGCACCTACTTGATGGTTTTTCAAAATCATGTTCTAAATGAATAAAGATGGAACCCAAATTTAAGATGATCAACTAACCAGCAGGTAACACAGACCACTTAACTCCCTGGTGACCAGAAGGGCTGGTGAGAAGCATCTGGGAAGGGACTCACAGGATCATTCGACCCAAGGATCATCTGACCACTGTCTTGGCCTCCCTGCACATCTGGGCTGGGATCCCACAAAGCCATCACTTTTTTGTCCCAACTCAAGAAAAAAGAGTGTTGAAACCAATAATCATTGCCTTGTACTGCCTACTTTGGGGTATTAGCTGCTCAAGTGGGAATTAAAGTCCCACAGGTCCCACTGCCACATTGGTAAGCCTGATATCTGGTCCCAGGTGATACAGGAGAAGGGAGTCTCTGCTCTCCTTTGGAGTTTTGGCCCTCAGCCCAGTCCTTTGCCCACCTGTGGATGCCCAGTGGCCAGCCCTCTGGTATTTCTGCCCCACCCCCAGTCCAGACCCAGGCAGGCAGTGGTGCCAGCCTCCAGCCCGCACCTGCTTAGAGACTTTGAGCCACGTCTTTTTAAGCCGGAAGATTGCGCTCCGGTTCATGGACGAGGTGATCTCCAGTACAGCGTTGTAGTTGTGTAGGCAGCGGCATATGTCGGCCACAGCCACCCACTTCTCGATGGCGCTCACCCTTGCGTTGATGTCCTCATTGCGGATGATTTCTGAAGCAATCAAGTTACTGATCTTTAAGCCAGTGCAGCAAGACAGGAAAAAAGTAAGAGGAATAAGTATTGCAATGATGACAAATTGTAACTATTTGTAGATATGATTACTAGCTTGAAAATACCAAAGAGTAGCTGGGCTTGGTGGCTCAGCCTGTAATCCCGCGCCTTTGGGAGGCTGAGGTGAGTAGACTGCCTGAGCCTGCGGGTTCGAGACCCGCCTGGGCAACTTGGTGAGACCTCATCTCTACAATAAATCAAAAAATAAGCCGGGTGTGGTAGTGCACACCTGTAGTTCCAGCTACTTGGAAGGCTGAGGCGGAAGGATCGCCGGAGCCCAGCAGGTCGAGGCTGCAGTGGCCAGGAGCGGCCACTGCACTCCAGTCTGGGTGACAGAGTAAGACTCCAACTCAAAAAAAAAAAAAAAGAAAGAAAATACCAAAGAGTGAGTTGGAAAACTACTAGAACAACTAGCAGAGCTCTTAGGGTTGCTGTAACCAACCCTAATGAGGCTCAATATACAAAAATGAAACGCTTTTCTATATATTAGCAATAGCAAATTAGAAAACATAATGGAAAAGATATTACCTTTAAAAAGATGATGGGAATTTATCAGTAACCTAGGAACTTATTAACGAGAACTATGTAGGAAGTTCCATGGGAAATAAAGGTCACTAAAGGATATAAAAGGCTCAAATAGCAGGAAAGAGATCCAATTCCCAAATGGGAATTTTTCTGAAAACGAATACATGAGGTTAGTGGAATCGCACAGAACAGCCAATGGGAGTTTTCTCTGGACTTGACAAAGTATTTCTGAAGTTCATCGGGGAGAAGAGACAGTTAAAAAGAGTCACATTCTGAGGAAATTCCCCATCATACAGCTGGAGCTCGGACAGGACATGTACTGTGAGGCATTGTTGATCTCATGTATACGGTAGTAGAGACCTCCCAGGACTTTGCCACTCAGCTGACAATCATAGACACACAGAAAAATCAAAAACAGGTGGGAAAGGGAGTGGGGGGGGGGAGGGGGGAGGGGGGGTGAGTTGGAAGTTGGGGCCAGAACACCAGGGAACTAGGACTGCAAGGACCTGGGGACAGCAGGAAACACCAGACTTTCTGGCATATTTCTTTGCAACTTCCTGTGAATCTATAATTATGTAAACATACAAATGCAAAAGACTACCTGTTATTTAAAAAAAAAAAAAAAAGGTGATAAAAGGACATTTACAGATGAACAAAAGCTATAAGGCATTTGCCCACAAGAACCCTTCTCAAAAAGTTTCTGGGCTAGGCTGGGCTCGGTGGCTCAGCCTGTAATCCCAGCACTGTGGGAGGCCGAGGTGAGTGGATTGCCTGAGCCTGCGGGTTCGAGACCCACCTGGGCAACTTGGAGAGACCTTATCTCTACAATAAATAAAAAAATTAGCCGGGCGTGGTAGCGTGCACCTGTAGTTCCAGCTACTTGGAAGGCTGAGGCGGAAGGATCGCCGGAGCCCAGCAGGTCGAGGCTGCAGTGGCTGGGAGCGGCCATTGCACTCCAGTCTGGGCGACAGAGTGAGACTCCAACTCAAAACAAAAAAAAAGTTTCTGAAGGATGTGCATCAGGAATGAATTGTAGGTCGGGTTTGGTGGCTCAGAATGTAATTCCAGCACTTTGGGAGACTGAGGCGAGTGGATTGCCTGAGCCTGTGGGTTCGAGGTCAGCCCAGGCAACTTGGTAATACCTCTTCTCTACAATAAATAAAAAATTAGCCGGGTGTGGTAGCACATGCCTGTAGTTCTGGCTACTTGGAAGGCTGAGGCAGAGGTATCACCAGAGCCCAGCAGGTCGAGGCTGCGGTGGCTGGGAGTGTGCCACTGCACTCCAGTCTGGGCGACAGAGTGAGACTCCAACTCAAAAAAAGAAAGAATGGATTGTAAAACCACTTAAGAATGGAGCGATACTTAAGAAAATCAGGAAGGAATGATAGCACAAAATAGTACATGTATTATGCCTCTTAGTTATTATCATTATTATTTTTTGAGTTGGAGTCTCAGTCTGTCACCTAGGCTGGAGTGTACGGCTACCGCAGCCTTGACCTGCTAGGCTCAGGTGATCCTTCTGCCTCAGCCTTCCAAGTAGCTGGAACTATAGGTGTGCTTTACCACACCTGGCTAATTTTTTGATTTACTGTAGAGACAAGGTCTTGCCAAATTGCACAGGTTGGTCTCAAAGCCCTGGGATTAGGCAATTTTCTCACCTTGGCTTTCCAAAGTGCTGGAATTGCAGGCATAAGCCACCGTGTCTGGCCTTATTATCTTAATTTTTTTTTTTTTGAGTTGGAGTCTCACTCTGTTGCCCAGGCTGGAGTGCAGTGGCACACTAACCCCACTCCAGCATCGACTTGCTAGGCTTTGGCGATCCTTCCGTCTCAGCCTTCCAAGTAGCCAAAACTACAGGCACGCGCTACTACGCCTGGCTAATTTTTTTAATGTATTGTAGAGATGAGATCTCACCAAGTTGCCCGGGCTGGTCTTGATCCCGCGGGCTCAGGCAATTAACTTGTCTTGGCCTCCCAAAGTGCTGGGATTACAGGCTGAGCCACTGAGCCCGGTCTATCTTAATTTTAAATAGAGACAAGGTCTTGCTCTGTTGCTCAAGCTGGTTTTGAATTCTTGGGCTTAAGTTATCCTCCTCACTCAACCTCCCAAAGTGCTAAGATTACAGTGCATACCACCATACTTCGCCTTAAACTAATTTTAAAGGAACAAATCAGTCAAATCTTCCAGATTTGAGATAAAAGGAATACCTGCCAATTTAATCTAAGAAGCCAGAATTATCTCAATACCAACACAGAGATAGGCAATACAAGAAATAAAAATTACACATCCATTTGTTTACTATATTATGATCACATTGGGTTTGTCCCTGAATGCAAGGATATTTGATTATTAGAAAAAAATGTATAACTGTCATTTACCATTCCAACAGAGTGAAAGAAGAATGATGTGACCATCTCAACAGATACAGAAAATAAACATTTGATAAAATGCAGTATTCAGATCAGGCAGGGTGGCTCATGCCTGTAATTCCAGCACTTTGGGAGGCTGAGGCAGGAGAATTACTTGAGCCCAGGAGTTTGAGATCAGTCTAGGTAAGACCCAGTGAGACCTAGTGAGATCTTGTCTTTACAAATAAAAAAGGAGCTGAGTGTGGTGGAGTGTGTCTGTAGTCTGAGCTACTCAGGAGGCTGAGGAGGAAGGATCCCCTGAGCCCAGGAGGTCAAGGCTTCGGTGAACTGTGATCATGCCACAGCACTCCAGCCTGGGTGACAGAATGAGACCTCGATTCAAAACAAAAGACAAAAAGGCAGTATCTATTCATTGTAAAAACCATTAGCACACAAAGACTAGAAAGGAAGTTTAAAACACTTGATAAAGAAATAGATCAAGTGCAGTGGCTCACGCCTGTAATCCCAGCACTTTGGAAGGTTGAGGTGGGAGAGCTGCCTGGTGCAAGGAGCTTAAGATCAGCCTGGGCAACATAGTGAGACCCCAATTCTACAAAAATAAAACTATTAAATAATTTTTAAAAACCTGACAAAGAAACAAACGTCATTCTACATGGGGAACTACTAGAAGCATTCCCTTTAAAACCAAGAAGACACATGGTGTCCACTTCCACTCCACACCATCCTGGAGAGACTAGGGCAAGTGGCTCCTTGCATTGTGCATCTTGGGCACCTGGCCTGCCTTACCCTAGTACCCCCGCTTGGCCGTGGGACTGGAAATCCTACCTAGTCCCAGCCAAGAGGACAAAGAAATGAAAGGCAAAAGATGGAAAACAGCAAAGAGAATGTGCAAGGAGAATGTCCTGCATCTCAGAACAAACAAGATGGAGGATTTGATCGGAGGTCCAGGTGCCATGGAGTTCCGAGGGCAGCTTCTGAGGCCAGCTGCGTGCATTCAGGAGTGGGCTCTCCTGCTGCGTAAGGCTGGGGATGAAATTTAACCTCCTCGAGCCTCAATTTCTTCATCCATAAAACGAGAATGACAGGATTCAGTGAGGTGATGTTTAGGAAGCACCTCCTTAGCACGGGGTAGACACTCAATGAATGGTCAACTTTGTTATGGGCTAAAAAGAGACCATTTGGGTTGTGTTAGAACACTCATTTTAAAAAAGACTTAGATACTTGTATTAAGAAAATTTTTCGTTGTAATTAAGTCAGGTCAAATTTGGAAGCCACTTGAATTTAAAATGTACATTTTCCCTATCCACCACCCTCACCACCTGCAGCGCCCCCCATCCCCTTTCCTGGCACAGCTTTGCCTGGTTGGGCTAGAAGGCCAATCTTATCTAGTAAGCCATTGCTGGTGCTGAAGAAGAAACAGCTGGCAAGTCAGATGACCTCATAATTAAGACAGTGGTCCTAGACTGGCAGGAATGGGTCTGGAAGCCTGGAGCAGGTATTGCCTATTGTCCTCCCTCCTCTCATGGTCTCCCCCCTCCCCGTAAATATGGGAATATTGGACTTATAGGCCAGGACTCTGGGAATAGGAGATTGTTACAATTATGTTTTTGTTGTTTTGCTTTTTTTGAGTCAGAGTCTCACTCTTGTTGCCCAGGCTGGAGTGTAGTGGCATGCTCACGGCTACCCCAGCCTCAACCCGCCGGGCTTAGACAATCCTTCCGCCTCAGCCTTCCAAGCAGCTAGAACTACAGTTCTACACCCAGCTACCACATCAGGCTAATTTTTTATTTATTGTAGAGACAAGTTCTCGCTAAGTTGCCCGGGCTGGTCTTAAACCGTGGGCTCAGGCAATTCACTTGCCTCAGCCTCCCAAAGTGTTGGGATTACAGGCTGAACCACTGAGCCCAGCCTACAACTATGTTTTAAAACAGTTTAAGCTATCATTTTAAACGATGTGACTTTCCCTTTCCACCACATGTTGCAATTGTCTCCCTCCCTCTGGAAAACTATAAAAAACATGTTGAAATTCCAAAATGTTATCTAAAATATCTGCATGATCAGGAGATTTTGTGTCATGTCAGTGGTCACCTATCAGAAAAAAAAAAGTTAATGTAAATCTTGAATCATGCTAAAACTGCACGTAGGCTTCAGACTTGGTGTGGGTGAAGGGCATGAATTTTGGGTACAAATACTGGAATGATTTTGTGTTGCTTTGAGTGGTTTTTTGGGCGATGCTGCCGACTCATTTCCCTATAACCTATTTATAGAAATTAAACACTTCCTTTTCTCCCAGATTTCTGCCTCTTGTAGTTATTGGCGGTGAGAGAAAGCAGCCAATTGTTGCTCAGACCATTTCAACTTCATGGTCTTGTCTTTTGCTGACTTAGGCCCTGGCGACATAGGGGTGCAGGGGCAGGGAGGAGGCAGCGTGTTGCTGCCTGGTGCTGTAAGGTGGGGTCAGATCCAGGCCTCTGCCAGGCATGTTTCCTGGGACCTTACCTGGTCTCCATCACTCTTCCTTTCTGGGGGGACCTGTGGTCTCCACTCGGCTGCTGTCTCACTGCAGGAACTGCTGGTGCCCAGGCCCAGGAGACCCCCGAGGCCTCCTCCCAGAGTTGCAATTCATGCGTCTTTCTTGTTTCCTCCAGGGGGACTGTCCTTTGCTGGGGCTGATGGGACATGGGCTGGCCTGGCAGTTGGGACAAGTGGAATCAGGCGCTCCCACCTCCGGCTATCAAAGGCCCTTAAATGCTGAGAGCAATTGTTCTTAGGGTGTCACAAGGCTGGGAGTGGATGATGCCTGTGGTTGGGAGTTGGAGCTTGGGCAATGCGGGGAAGCTGCCTGGGAGACTTTTTTTTTTCTCACATGATTGTTTTCCATTTTTTTTTTTGAGTTGGAGTCTCACTCTGTCGCCCAGACTGGAGTGCAGTGGC